GTTCGTAAATTTGGAGAGATATTTACTAGCTCAAGGTAACGTTAAATCACATATTATTGATTGATTAATTAGTTAATCTCAGATATGAATGAATTAACACATGTAATCAATACGTAGGGATAATGAATGCTATTACATATGTACTAATAATCTGTTGTGTAATTGACGCATGTTTAAATTTCATGTTAGTTTGGTATAAACCACTATCACTTGGTTTTATTGGGGCACCTATCTCCACTGCCATTACGTATTGGTTTATGTTTTTCTTTCTTGTCATTTATACTAAATTCATCAATGGATATCAAGCCTGGGATGGATGGTCGCGTGCTGCATTTCATGGTTGGAAACCTATCCTTGAATTAATGATTCCTGGTATCTTTATGGTCTGTGCGGAGTGGTGGGCACTTGAACTTATATCTTTTCTTGCTGGATATCTTGGTGAACTTTCACTTGCATCCCAGGGTATAATAACTTCTATACTTAGCATAATATATCCAATACCATATGGAATCTCTATAGTAGCATCAAATCGTGTTGGAAATTTATTGGGTGCTGGTTTATTAGAAAGGGCTAAAATGGCTTCAAAACTTTCCATGCAAATTGCTATTATTATTAGTTTATTTAATGCAGTCATCTTGATAGGTTTCAAGGATAGTTTGGGGTTAAGTTGTGATCAAATTATATAATTGTTTAATTGCTGTATATTTACTTATTTAATTTTATTCATAAATTATATCTATTTTAGATACATATTCACCTTTGATGATGATGTAGTCAAATATACATCTTATGCCTTACTATTTACTGGCATTTTTGTGGTACCCATTTATTCAATTATATTTGCTTAAATATCAATGAATATATATTATCAGTTGATATTAATAAGTTCATTTTTTTACGCATTATAAAAGTTACCCGATGGTATAAACGCAGTCGGATATGGTATTCTTCGTGGGCAAGGCCGTCAAAATATTGGCGCGCTCGTTAACGCCCCTACATATTTCTTGGTAGGAATACCTATTTGTATATTTGCAGCTTTTAAATTAGGATATGGATTACGAGGTCTTTGGATTGGAGAGATGACATGTTCATTTATAGTTTGCATTATTCTTATTATTATTATGTGTAGAACTGATTGGCAACGGCAATTGGAGAAATGTAAAAGGCGAATGAAAGAAAACAGGGATAGATTTGAATCTATAATTAGTAATGACCCTGATTTTTAATGTTCGCTTAATTCCGAATTTTTATACATGCGATTAGCATTAGCACTAGCAAAAATTAATATTTCCATATCAATATGTCTAAGAAATAAAGCAGCTTGTGCAGAAATTTCGGGAGATTGACGAAAGAAGATTAAGATCTTTTCTGATTCCCACC